AAGCTCCTGCCACGTGAATATCCGAAAGGATGACAGGGTGATGTGAACATACTTGGTTAACAGCTGGACTTCGACATCGTCCTAATCTTCACCGTGTCAGGGTCCAGCTGTTAACCGAGATGATGGTGACGGTGATGATCCCGATTTCTCCTGAATTGCTTGACGATTAAGGTGATTAATTTGGGTATAATCGGTAATCCCTTTTTTAAACTGCCCTTTTACAGATCTGTTATTAAAAGAAAGGCGTTGGAATCGAGTTTTTAGAAAACCCATCGCAATTTCTTGGAATTTGGAAGTCATCTCTTTCGGAGCCCACCAGACTTTCTTCCAAATAAATGGGTTTTGGGAAGAGCTCACAGCCCCTTCCAGTTTTCCCAGTATTTTAGCTCATTTTAGGATGAGACTGAATAGAGTTGTTAGACTGTGCACAATATTCCGTTGACCCTTATTTAATTTTATTTCATGATCCATTTGAAATAAAACAGCAACAAAAAAGATAACATGTTGATTTCCTTTCCTACGAACTCATTAAACAAAAGAAGACAAGCAGCATTCGGAATTTCTTGGCTGACCTAACCAGGCATTCCGTTCTTAAATTACTTTTTTTTTGGTGCTGAAAATCGCAGCCCTTTTCAAGGCGTGATCGTCGGGAAAAGGCGAAGGCTCTGACTTTGCTTCGGCCATTGGCCCTGAGCTTGATCTCCTTAGGGCTTCCAAAGGTGCGACACAATACTCCCGCCGGAGCTCTTGCAGTCCAATCCCATTCGCAAGAATTGATGCAACCGCCCACCGTTCAGCTGTGTGAGGTGGAGTTTAATTGCAGGTAAGAGTGACCCGGATGGCTGCCTTCTGCCGTTTGAGTTCGGCCACCCAGGCGCTCAAGTGCTGCAGGATAAGGCGCTCGCTCGACAAGCCACTCCACTCCGAGGCTTTCCAATCTCGTAAAATAGACAGCTTTTCCTCGATATCAGGAGGTGGTTTATCTCTCCACGTTTAGGGTCTTGGTGTCGGTTCCGAATTACTAAAACCGGTCAGGCCTAAGCAACACTATTGAACTGGAAGGGAAGGGATTTAGAGTCCCCCAGTGTTGGGAGATTCCATATTCTATGATCCTGAGGATTGGCCAACCTGGCTGGGATTGATGCGAAAGGAATCCGACACTACCCGGAGGCCTGTAGGATATTCTCCGAGAGGATCTTAGAAGCGGCACGCTAGGCAGAAACTGCACAGGGGGAAAAGGTAGCCCTTAAAAAGTCATCTTGATGGAACCACTTCAGAGTCTGAATTTGTTCTTCCAAAGCTTTTCCATTTCCCCATCTCTTAATTCACTGCAAGAGAAAGATGTAATTCGCAGCTCTAAAAGGCGTATTTTAAAATGTAACATACACACGTTTCCCAACCTGGAGACCTCCAGGCGTTTTGGGATGCCACTCCTATAATCCACCGGAAATTATAAGATTTCATCCTACTTGTAGCTGGTGAAGTATGTCTGTGCGTAGAGCATATCATCTCACTATCACAGATACTAGCTGAGTGGATACATTAAGCTAAACAACAGTGCAGTTAACAATGGTTTGTAAAATAAGCAACAATTCGCCAATGGGCTAAGGAATAAATCAGTTTACAAGTCATAGTTGAAAACCCCTCTCTACAAAAGCACATTTCAACTTGATATGTGAACGGAGCCTTTAAGCACCGAGTGCAAATCTATGAAATATTTCTATGAGCAATGATTTAGAGGGTGATCCACAATAGCTAGTGTTTCTGAGCATTCGCAGAGTGTATTTTACCCGATGGCACCTCCATCCTAGGGCCTGAACAAATCGAATGGTCTGTATCTGTATAAGACTTTTAAAAATGAGCCTCTTTTCAAAAGAATGCATCTCAAAAACCTCATGTTTTTCAACGAAGTAAATGCTCAGGAGATTTGAAGTTTAGATTACTCTTCATTGCCCGATTACCCCACAGGCAGAGAGAAGAAAACGCACCCCAGTTCTAAACCAGGCTTCCTTCCCTCCTGCTTCTTAGGCGTGTTTACTCGAAAGTAAAGCTCAGCTAGTTAAGGGAGCCCAAGAATGGTCCAGTCAGCCTTTACCGCCATGAAACTGGGGGGGGGGGGGACCTCCACATGACGCCATAAGTCAAAAATCGCCTTGGGGAGAAAAATCAGTTCCTCTGTGCCCCGTTCTTCGCCTTCTCGTTTCCCACCCTTGGTGAATATTAGCCATGAAACTTCGAGGTGGCCGGCCTGCTTAAATCGCCTCCGAAAGTAGAAGAGCCTGTTCGGGGTTTAATTTTGAAACAAAACCACAGGTAATCGTCGCTGGCAGTCACTGAGATTCAGCCAGGGGAGATCAAATAGCTGTTTACCGCGGCCGCTCCGGTTAGTAATTTCTGCTGCCGCCCAGTCAAGACGGGAAGGTGAAGGGGGTGGGTGGGTGAAAAAGAGATTATTCACAGTAAAGCGGACAAGGCAGGTTTTCTGATTAGGCCAACTACACAGCAATACTTGGAGATGAAGAGTGCTGTTAGTCCGGAAAGCCTGCTTCATTAGAACTCGGGGAATAAAAAAAGATCCCGCAGGTATTTAATGCACACTTCGCCTTTATTTTCCGTTCAAGCAAAACACACTTCCTTTTACATAGGGCCGTGCACATATTTCAGATGCGTTTTTCTTGAGCACCTATACAATATTTAGGATTGCCCCGGTGGGGGTGGAGGGGGGAATTCAAGGCTGAAAATGCCCACCTAAACTCTCTAAAGTCATTCTGAGATTACCAGAATTTTCACTTTCTTCTTTTTATCCCTTTTGCTCTCGGATATGTCCGTCAACTGGTCTTCTGCATTTATCCCTCCGCAAATTGCAGGGGATTTTCTCCTGGTGGATCGAATGCGGTTACCTGGCCATTAGGACGGAAATGATACTGTCCTGGCTGTGGCGTGACCTGTCCTGGGAAGCCCCAAAGGATCTTCTGCAGCCCCCGAGGAGATGCTACAACACCTTAGCAGGTGTCTTCCGAGCGGCTAAAGCCAAAGCTTGAGCTGGTCAGGTGAAAAATTGGGTTCATGGGAGATGCTAAATATAATTGGCTTAGTTTGTGTTTAGTGTTGTGGAACGAATCGGCCCGAAATGCGCGCCTCAACTAGTAACGGTACCTAGATAAATAAGGGCAACGTTAAATCCTCTTCGCTAAAAGCTCCTTTAAGAAAGACACTGAGTGGCAGCTGCTGCTACCCTTTGAAGCATATGAGGGGCGTAATTCTGCCCCTGTTGAAGCCGGTCCGGTATTCTCAAAGGTGGAAAGGTAGGGCCACACATTTCTATCCGTGCAGCGATATAAAGTATGTATTAATGGGAGATATGGCTGGCACAGCGATGGTTGGATGACACCATAAATCATGTCGGAGGAATGTCACAGGGACCGAAACGCTCGCTTACTGGTGTCTGCATTTTGTAAGTTTCACCTAGGTTTATACTCGAGTTATTTTTTTTAACGCAGTCAATCTTACTTGGTTTATCCATGTTGTGTCGAGTTGGTAATCAAGTAGTCGAACTTTGGAATCAGACTAAATTAGGACCACCACATCCGAGATGCAAAAATCAGGACGAGATGGCAAGAAAACTAACTCTCCTACTGTCATTTAGGGGTTGTATGGGTATCTACAGCATAACTCAGGCAAGTTAATCCTAGGAGTAGCGTTCAATGCCAAACGTTAGAAGGGTCACCGATTCAGCCAAATCCTGATGCCAAGTACTAATCTGAAGACGAAATTCAAACCCCTGTTTAATTCCCACTAAATCAGCAGTGTGGATTAATAGTTACTGGCTGTATCATGGCCCCTTTTTAAATGTGCAGCTCACGAAGGAACTGATAATAATAATAATAATAATAATAATAATAATAATAATAATAATAAGGTTAGAATTTACATTTATTAGGTTTTAGGTATTAATAGGTTCGTTGGAATCTGGTTGTTCAACCTCTCTAGGTCTGCGCAGATATAAATCCTATTAATCCTCGATGTACTTACAAATGATTCTTATCCCACCCCTGGCAGGGGACAAACTCTAGCTGGCGGAAGACCTACGGAATTTGGGCTCCTGCCCGTTAGCTCCGAATAGAGATGGGCAGCAGAATGGGCTCCGTCGAGTCTTGCAAGCGCTGGACGAAACCCGTCGAATCTCACGTTTGATTACAGAGAAGTCCAGTTTAGTATGTGCCTATACGTTAAATCTTAGTTAGACCAATAATTGCATCACCTTGGGATGCTACCGGCGTTCTTCCTTCTACACGCCCATTTTCTTGGAGTAACGTTGATTCCAGGGTCCCAAGATGTTCGTAAACACCCCCCCCCCCACGCTTTTGGTTGTATTTAACGGAAAACTACTTTCAGGACAGGTAAAGCCTAAAGAGAAACCAGACAGGCGCCACGCCCACAGCTCCATCCAGGGAGCTCGCTCTGCTCCCTGCAGCCCTCGGGGGTGGCTCCTTGGGCGGCACTGCGCGACCCTCTGCAAAGCAATTTGGGACTAAAATTTCAGGGAAACGCCAAGGGACTCCCTTCGAATAAACCCACACCTTGCTTAAAACGCGAGAGCCCTCTTCCCACCTGCAACTCTTGGAGAGTTCTATTCCGTCTAAAGCACAGAGGCGCTGGGGTATTTCCAGCGCAGGCGAGCCTGAAAGTCGAGCACAAGAAGGACAGGAGCTCCCCCGTGGGTGGGTGGGTGCGGGGGGAAATGGGCATCTCCCGGGGCATAAGAAACTAAGGCCCAGCCGACGTGCGGGAAAGCAAAAAAAAAACTTTCAGTTTTCCGTGTGCTTCTAGTTACTGTTTAACATCCCCACCCACGTTTCAGTTTGTTTAGTAAATCGATCTGAAAGCGACTGCCGGGGCTCCAGCGCCGGCCCCGTCGCCATTAAGCCAGGTTCCTTATTATTATTATTATTTTTTCCTTTCCCCCCTCCGGGATAGATAGGTTGCGTTCGGTGGCCGGACGAGCGAAAGCCAAGGCTCGCCGGGGAGAAAGCGCGGATATGCTCCTCAGGCGCCTCTAAACTGACTCGCAGCTGCTTCACCCGCCAGGTAAGTTTTTATTTCCGCCGGCGCCTCTAGAAAGACGAGAGCCAAGCTTGGCCGCCCTCGCGCCGGCGCCTTTGCCTTTGCCTTGCCCGGAACTACGAGGCCTTTCTGGGGCCAGCTGGGAACCGGCGGAGCTCCAGTGCCTCTTGCTGCCGGGCTGCTACCGTGACAAGGCGAGAAAGAAACGAGAGCGACGGCTTCGCAGTCGAGAGGTCAGGCCGCCGCCTCGCCTACCCAGGGCCTCCTCCCGCCCCTTGAAACGGCGGGACTGCAGCCTCTTATTAGGGAACGAAGGCAGCCGGCTTCCCTTTCTGGCTAGAAGGGGCTGGAGCCGCTTCTCTCTCCAAAAATACCTGCCCTTTTATACCGAAAGAACTTTTAACTCGCTTGGATTTAAACCAAGTTTTGGGGGCGCTCCCCTCCCCGATAACTGGAGCCCTTTCCTTTTATCCCACTTCCGGTGGGATGGGTTTTAGAGTGGATTGTTAAGGAGAGGTTGCCCCACGATTCCGGTTCATTAAAAACCAACCAAACTTTTCTCAAGAGCGCATTGATTTCTGGTTATTCCCAGGGCGTTTCCCCAACCCACTATAAATTCCATTGTGGTTAGGAAAGAATATACAGTTGTGTTTGCCTCTACCTGAGAGGTAACAGAAAAATCCTGCAACAAAATGTTAGGGAATTTTGGTGCCTCTTAGTGTGCTGGTAGGGGACGCGGTGGCTCAGTGGCTAAGATGCTGAGCTTGTCCATCGAAAGGTCGGCAGTTGAGTGGTTCGAATCCCTAGTGCCACATAATGGGGTGAGCTCCCGTTACTTGTCCCAGCTTCTGCCAACCTAGCAGTTCGAAAGCACGTAAAAAATGCAAGTAGAAAAATAGGGATCACCTTTGGTGGGAAGGTACAGAGTTCCATAAGCCTTTGGTGTTTAATCATGACCACCGAGACGTCTTCGGACAGCGCTGGCTCTTTGAAATTGAAATGAGCACTGCCCCCTAGAGTCGGGAACGACTAGCACATATGAACCTTTACCTTTACCTAGTGTTCTGGTATGCATTGTCCTGGCCCTGCCTTGGGCCTTGTCTCCAGAGTTAGGCTCCCTTGTTGTACAGTACATCTGTTTCATTTCCTGAATTGACCAAATGCTGCTTGGATATTATAGCAGGCGGTGGTATAATCCTGCACACTCATTGCAGTCATTTTAGAATTAAGTTCTGCAGCCCCATATTTAGGGCAAAGAGGCCTAAATCAAATAAAGACACTGACAATTGAGCAAGAAAAAAGTGAGGGACCATTACATTTGGAGGATCCAACGCTATCCAAAATAAAAACTCCTTTTTATAAAAGATTATTTTGATATGCAGATCTTTCAGTGTTTGATTAATTCTACCAAGTTACTTCATGTACATGACAGCACGTTTGCATGAAACCTCCTTGCTGTCTGATTATGGTTTTAAAAAGCAATTATATGAAACAGTCTTATATTTAAAACAATAACTAAAGATATTGTCTTCCACCATACAGAACTGTCTGTAGCCCAAAGTGGCTGATTATTCAAATCAATATATTTCACTACTTCCCACTCACATATTTCTTGGTTACATTTATTTCCCAAAATAGTAAAAGCAAAATTGATTATTTTTCTCTTTCCTGTTTTGTCTTCATGGCAATTCTATAAGTTACAAAAAATTCATTTGGCTCCAAGTCAATTGGCTCCAATGGCTTTTTGAGGATAACTAGAATACTAATACCCAGTATATATTATCTTCCGTGTAACTCTTAATGGACTTATAGAGGTTTGTCCCAGGATACTTAAGGGGTACTAGTGGGAAACATTGATGAATTATTTAAATGAGATGAATGAAAGAGTAGATGAAAAAAAGGCCCTGCAGATGCCACTGTCCATAAATTACCTTTCATTAAGTCCTCTTCTTTTAGCTTGGTATTTCTCTTTATTTTGATTCTACCTTCATCTAAGGCTCCCAAGATCTTAGAGGGTTATTTCTCTGCTTGTTTCTTGTCACAACAGGGTTATAGCATAAAGTAATAGGTGAGTTTTAAAGGTGAACCTCCCAGTCTAGATGAGGAATGAGCAATGGATAGATCCTACCTCTTTGATATTGTTGACCTCAGTTCCATTGTCCTAATTCCCATTGACAGTGGAGGCATCTGGTGGGAGTTGCAGTACCACAGAATCGGGTTCACATCCCGTGATTCCTCAGCCATCTGCGCCCTTTTTTATAATAATCGTTGAAAACTCAAAATAAGTTTCAAGATAGGAAATAGGTAAACTCTGGTTAGGGCATTAAATATGTATAAAACAATTTTTAAAACTTCAAAGACTAGGTGGCTCAGTGGCTAAGACCCTGAGCTTGTCAATCAGAAAGGTTGGCAGTTCGGCAGTTCGAATCCCAGTACAGGTCTCCTGCATGAGCAGGGGGTTGGACTAGATGACCTCCAAGGTCCCTTCCAACTCTTACTGTTAAAGCTGTTAAAAGCCGCTACAAAGCCTTATGTCGTCAAATTAAAGATGAACGCACCAATTATTTCTGCAAACGAGAAAAAGCTGTTCAACTCAAACTCTACGCAAGCCTTTTACAACTTTGTTAACTCAAAACTTAAAGACTCATAAGTGATTCCACCTCTAAGAGGGCAAAACTGGGTTGATTGTAATGACAATGTTGGTGAGGCCAATCTATTCAATACATTTTTTAGTTCAGTTTTTGTGGATAGCAATAGTTGCAGTCCCTCATTTGCAAGTCGAACCACAAATAGTTGTAGCAAATTGCTGAATATTAAATTTACAGTAGATAATGTTGAATTAGCATTATGTAATCTAAAGCCATTGCTATCCACAGGACCAGATGGATTATGTGCTTTTTTCCTGAAAAAGCTTGCTATTGTCCTAGCTGAACCCTTGTGTACAATTCTTGAAGTATCGTTTCTAACTAATTCTCTGCCTGATCTATGGTCATCAGCTATAGCTATACCAATTTTTTAAAAGGGTGACCCTAGTTCAGTTGAAAATTATAGACCAATCTCTTTGTGCTGTGTTACATGCAAAGTTATGGAATCAATTATAAACCAATTCATCGTTCACCATTTAGAGACAAACAACTTGCTATGCGACAAAAAGTTTGGCTTTAGGAAAAACTCATCCTGTAATTTACAACTTTTGCATTGTAAAAACATCTGGACTACATATCTTGATCAAGGTAAAGCTGTAGATGCAATTTACATAGATTTTTGTAAGGCTTTTGATACAGTAGTACGTGATAAACTGCTGTTGAAACTAAACTCTTATGGCATTTCTGGACCTTTGCACAAGTGGATTGCTGCTTTCCTGTCTAATAAGACTGCAGAAAGTCAAAATTAGGAACTCGCTGTCTAATCCTGCATCAGTTAACAGTGGTGTTCCGCAAGGTAGTGTTTTAGGTCCCACACTTTTCTTGCTCTATATCAATGATTTATGTGACCAACTTAAACCCAATTGCATCCTGTTTGCCGATGACATAAAATTATTCAATACTACAGATAATTCTGTTGTTTTGCAAAGTGATCTCGACTATGAATGGACATCTATTTGGCAACTTCAAATTTCGATTAATAAATTATCTATCTTACATATTGGTAAACGTAATCAGAATGTCAAGTATAAGCTAGGTGGCATTGATCTAGCAGATGACCCTCATTTTGTCACGGACCTAGGTGTACTTATCTTTGACGACTATTGCTCCAAAGTTCACTATAACAGCATTGCTAAAAAAGCATTAAGAGTTGTAAATTTAATTTTGCGAAGCTTTTTTTCTGGAAATATCATATTGCTAATTAGAGCTTATAAAACATATGCTAAACCAATTTTAGAGTATTGTTCAACTTTGGAATCCCCACCATATATCTGACATCAGTACAATTGAGCGGGTTCAGTAGTATTTCATGAGAAAAGTCTTGCACTCTTCGGTACACAATAGAATTCCCTATACTCACTAGGCTCAAAATTCTCAGTTTGGATAACTTAGGACTGCGTCGCTTGTGGTCAGACTTAGGTATTGCATACAAAATTATAGGTAGTAATGCTTTACCTGTAAATGACTTTTTCTGTTTTAATCGCACTAATATGCGTGCGAACAACCCCTTTAAGTTCAATGTAAATCATTCTAAACTTGAATGTAAAAAAGATGATTTCTGTAACAGAGTTGTCAAAGTCTGGAATGCTCTACCTGATTTAGTTGTCTCAACTACAAATTTTCACAGTTTCAGTCACAAATTAATTTCCGTGGACCTTACTTCATATTAAAATGGTTAGTAGAGAGAGCGTGCATAAGTGCACTAACGTGCCAATTGTCCCTGTCATTGTATTTTTATTCTTTTGTTCTCGTTTTTGTTTGACAAATTCTAATAGATAAATAAATAAAAAAACCTCCCAAACTCTTTGAATTCAGCACAGTCCTCATGCTTTATGTGCACCACACCTGCTGTATTAAGTGGTTATTACCCACTTGAAGATTTCTGACCTAGTCATCATGGGCCTCTACAGTACCCTGTTTTTGCACCCTTTCCACACACCCTCCACAATCTGGTGATATTGTCTTTCTGGACTGAGTGACAACTTGTCCACCTCTCTGGAAGAAACACCAGCGGTCAGCTTGCTTACAGAACTATTTATGTCTTTAGGGCAGACCTGCACAAAATAATGCCCATGGGCCATATGTTGCCTGTCAAGCTGCCTTGTGCTGTTGGCACTTTTTGAAAAATAGTCTACGGCCACCAAACATCAACACTCCCAGGAAAGACCTGCTGCTTCACAGCCATATCTTCCTTTAAAGCGCTCCATGGCTTAGGGCCGGGGTACTTACGAGACCGCCTTCTGCCACCAATAGCCTCCCACCGGCCAGTACGCTCCCACAGAGTGGGCCTCCTCAGGGTGCCGTCCGCCAGACAATGTCGGCTGGCGACCCCCAGGGGGAGAGCCTTCTCTGTGGCGGCGCCCGCCCTCTGGAACAACC